ATTTATTGTTTTACTCCCACACTATTTATTTCCAGAGGGTAAATTCGGTTGAAATTGCTCAAGGTGTTCCAGAGTTATGCTGGAACACACACACACACACACACACACACAAACACACACAGAGCCATTTTTATATATGTAGAAGATGACTGATGTGTGTTGAGCAGGGCAGCTGTATAAATCAATATAAACAATAAATAATCAAGATAGAGGGGTGGGGGGAAAGCACACTTACTTTCCCCATATTTTTTTAATTCCTTTTGGATTTCTTTTATTGTCTGGAGATAATGGAGACTGTGCACCTGAATCTGTTCCAGATGACAAGGGTGAAAGTTCCTCTGAAGTTGTATTGTCCATGTGATCAGGAGCTCCTGTGGAACATAAAGGGTATCTATGAACTTCAAGATGCCCAGAGTATGAATCATTCAAAGCTGGTCATATATACTGGGTTGCATTTGTTGGATATATTGGATTGCAAAAATAAAAGCCTACATCTTCTCAAGTGTATAAACTGGTGTTCTATGGATAGAAAAAACAATTGTACATAATTTATTTGGCGTACAGTCATGTTGGTCATATGACCATGGAAATGTCTTTGCTCAATGCTGGCTCCCTCAGCTAAGAAATGGAGATGCGCACCACCCCCTAGAGTCCAACACAACTGGATAGGGGAAATCTATAACTTTACCTTTACATAATTTATTACACTAGATGGCTAGCTGAAGGGTTCATTAATCGTATTATAAATTGGACATGGTATCCCATGATGGATATTAATAATTATAGCCTGATATGTAACATGGATGCAAAATACATTTTTCAAATGGACAGAATTCTCTATGGCATGGAATCGCCAAAATGTTTCCCCATAAGCTATGTTTTGCATGGCTTAATGACAAAAATAAGATGCATTTTAAATATTTTTCCCAAACATGTTTTCTTTTGAAGTACTAAATGCAGATTTCAAGCATGTCCAGAGTCCATTAAAAACCACAGAATCTCTCATGTTGTTCTCTAAATGTAGTCTTGTACTATTAGGACCATATGTGGCTTTCACTTGCTGGATCGGAAATCACAATTAAAAAAGGCAATTCCCCGCAGTTTGTATTTTCAATAAGTTACTTATTTCTTGCATAAAGGTGGCATGTTGGTTAGGTATACAATACCTAATATTGGTGCACTGACACTCCTGAGGCGATCTTCACTCATTCCAAGAAGCAGAAAGCCATATGAAGAAGCAAAGATGATGTAAAATTGAAGCAAAACAAAGTTAAAGAAAAGCAGAGAAAGCAAACAGACGACAGAAGAAAAATAAAAAAATATGGACAGGAGGCAAAATAGCAAAGCAGATGAACTTGAATGCTCAGGAGCAGTGCGCACTGCATACAGATGAAAATCTTTTACTGTGAAAAATACACAACTTTAAAAAATCCACATACTGAGTACTAAGCCAGCATAATGAATAAATTAAAACATGTTCTTTTTCTAATTTAAAATGCAAACAATTCATAGTAAAATGTGTGCGTTTTTCCCTCCTAGAAAGAAATCATGCTGATCTTCTAGGCTCAGCTATCAGTTTTATTTATAAAGAGAGGTCAAAGATCTTTTTCCCCAAAGAGAATCTATGCATTTGAAAAGGACTGTTTACTATTTCAACAGGCCTGGGTTTTTTGAGTGTCTCCATAATGTAGTGTAAATGAAAAGCAGAGTCAGATGCCTGTGATCTACTTCTTAGGAATTCAACCATTAAGTCATGAAGCTTATTTACATGCACCAGTTAAAATTTGTGGGCAGCTTCAACTGACATGATGACATTTCTAATTAGCAATTCAAAAAGGTGCAATAGCTTTACGACAACATGTAGGCAGCGTATTAAATAATGATGAATTAAGACTGATGGAACTAAAGTATTACAAGTAAATAATGGAAGTTACCTTCCCTGGACCTACACTGGCATCCACACCACTGCCTTGGTCTCACAGTGGTTTATTATAATCATGAACAGGTTTGATACAGAAGTGTCCACAAAGTTTTTAATGTGTGTCACATATCACATTGTTGCGGCTGTCAGTGTGACTTTTCTGCACACATCCCTGCAGTTGTTCATTATGTGGATGTGACAATTCAGTGTCCACAAAATTCTTCCCAGATCAATAGACACTCCAAACTCTCAGACTAATTATATTTTAGGGGCATCATCAACTAATTATGCAGCTAACAGTTCTGAATTCAAAGAATTAGGAAATCCAACTTTTGTACAGTGTAGGAGCCATATTGATGGAAATTAAGATTCATTACCCCTAATAATATGATATTATTCTGACAAGTCCAAATTTTGCTCCGTGGCATTTTAAAAATATTTTCAAACCACACACAAATGCACATAGGCAGCAAGTTCATTGTTGTTTCCAAAGTACATACTCAGGCTCTGTATGCTGTTGTCCTCATTGCCATTTATACAACATGGAGTAGCAGGTGTATTGTACAGGTGGTTATCTTCATTGTGTGCTGCTCGAGGAAGTTTTCCTGGCAAGGTTTGGTACTTGCTGCTTTTCACATGAGATTTATTCTATGTAGGTTGCAATTTTTTTAACAAAAAGAGAAAAATAATTAAGTCAACATTGTTTCTAAAATACACTACATTCGTTTTGGTCAGAAGCTATCAGCATTTGTCTTCTGAGAAGTAAAAATATTTGGCCAATATAGGAATTCTCATTGTGGTCAAATGTTCTCTACTATTGTGGAAAGATGTGGCTTTTGACTGCTAAAAATAGAGTAATGAAGACAGTGGTAGAGAACTTTGTCACATTTATATATATTACATATGTGGTATGTTTATATGTCACATATCAATATCTACAGTAATTATTTTATCTTAATTTATCCTTTTATGCTACTTGTTGAATCACTATATTATTTAAGAAAATAAATGCCACCATCTGGTTGATATCTGGAACATATGCACCATGGATGTCCCTAATTTATCTGACACTTGATATCTCCTCCAATATACCTGGCTGCCTGCATTCTGTGCTGAATAGTCATGGATAGCTTTTATGGCCTATTTAACTATTCTCTCTGTTGAGTAGCCTATACAGTCCATTTGTTACAAACATCTAATTTTTTTAATCATTCGTAGATTAGGAAAGCAAGGAGTATTGTGTTAATATTTAGTTACACAAGCACTTTGACTTGACTTTAACCCATTATAACCATTCATCAGCCTTAGAAAATGTTAATTTTAAGCCTTAACTAAAAATATTTATTATACAAACATTAAAAGTAAAAGCTTGGCTAATTTGCACAGACTGCCCACATACAAAAATTCTCAAGCACACATTCCATGGTAACACACATAAGAAAATTATGCACAAAATAAAGAAATGGTTTTCAGAGTGTAAATGTTAAAATGGAGTTAATATACCTCTTCTTCTAGATCACGTTCTACTGGTTTCCCATCAACATGCTATGAAGTTGCAGGAAGGGCAATTTCAAAGTATGAGGGAGAGAAAGTAACAAACAAAATGTTAGTGTAGATATAAATGATGTGGTATTTTTAGTCCAGTCTGTGGGATAACAATAATAGGTTTATTTTCTCCTCAATATGCAGTGTCCTGCTATACTGACATTAATGTGCATGTCATTTCTCATAAGACGAGCAACAAAAATGATAAGGGGCTTGGAGGTTAAACTGTACGATGAACAGTTGAAGGAACTAGGTATGTCTACTATAACAAAGAGAAGGCAAGAGATGTCACAGAAGTGGTCTTCCAATACTTGAGGGACTGTCACAGAGAGGAAGGTGTCAACCTATTCTCCAAAGCACTAGCAGAGAAGAAAAGAAATAATGGATAGAAGATCATTAAAGAGAGATCCAATCTAAATCTAAGGATAAATTTCCTGATAGTGAAAACAATTAATCATGGAATGGCTTGCCTTCAGAAACTGTGTGTGCTCCTACATTTGAAGTTTTCAAGAAAAGATTGGACAATCATTTGGTATAAGATCTTATGCTCAAGCAGGGGGTTGGACTAGAAGTCCTCAAGGTCTCTTACAACCCTTTTATTCTATCCTCTAAGTCTAGCTTCTACCAAATCAATGGAATCTGTTGCTACAGGCACTATGCTGAACAGTCACCTTCCATTCATTCTGATCATTGACCCACAGAGAACAAACTTCAAAACTTGGCTACTGCCATATACGTAGCACATGTTGGAAAATAGTAAAAATTACAATCATTTCAATCTCACAACTCTTCCATGAACACAATGCAAGATATACTAACTGTACTAATAAGTGCTTATATTGTATCTGTATATTGACTGAAAGACTTGTTGATTTTCCTCTGGAAGTGAGTGGCAATATATTATTGCATTGAGGTTTTGCAGATTTGATTTAGCAATGTAAGTAGCACAGAGAATGCACAGTCTAATGCATGAAAGTGATGTAAATCTTCTGTTCCATCATTTTATTATACTAAAAATAGGACTAGAACAATCTGTTTATAGCAAATTCAGCCGCAAGTAGGAGAGGCTGTATTCTAATCTCGTCTAACCCTGGTTTGCTTGGAGGGCTCTTTATATGTGCAAAGGATTATGTAGATAAGACAGTTGGCAGTTCAAGAACTGTTGGCATGTCAAGTATGCACATATCCAAATGTGCAACTTCAGAGAAAGATATGCACTGCAGGAAAAATGCATTTATGGATGGCCAACAGTTTGATAAAACAAATTCTCACAAGTATGTAATCCCAGGGCTCCAGTATATGGTAAACTGGATGCTGCAAACGGAACAGAATATCTACAATATTCCCGATAAGCATTAACAAACCTGACATTTCTGGCCTTGGGGTATGAAGTCTCCCTTTCACGTTTTTGGCCACAATCAGCTATTTCAGCTTCTACCTACTATCTATCTGCCAATTGTACGTGGTATCAACATACTCTCTGATATCAGCATTGTATCAATCTCAAGGTCTCACTAAAAACCAATTACTTATATGCACATCCAAATTATACACTAGAACAAAGTAAAAGTGCAAAACAAGGAGAAAATAAACCTTAAAATTATAGGATAATTGGGAAAGTTAGTTTTTCATTTGCTATGCATAAGAACACAAATTATACTGAAAGGATATAATGGAAAGTCCACAGATTAGCCTTTAAACTGATATTTCACCATCATGGTAAATATATGGTTTGTTAGTTAAGTGAAATCAAATTATTTTGAATTTGGATTTGGATTTATATTGCATATGTTGTTCAGAATTTACCAAATATAGATAGCTTCTTCCTGATGTGGGTGATTTAGCATATATTGATGTATTTGACAGTACAGAGCAGTTTCTTTTGATCTCAAAGTCAAAGCAACAGTGGAATTAGAAGTATTCTGCTACATGAAACTTCTGTGGATTGATTTATATCCAGCTTTATTTACTTCCAATGCATATTTATTAGGCAAATATCAAAATATTGGAGCTAACCTTTTCCAGAGATTCACTTTGCAAGTCTTCTAGACTACTTGAAATTTTTTTCTGAGAGATCCTTCAAAATACAATGACAATAATTAATGAAACCATACACATACCAAATCACATTGATGATTAGCAACAATTATTTGACATTTACATAACCTGCAATCTTAAGTTTGAATAATAAATGCCACCAGTAAAACTCTTAGCTGCTAAGACATGGGAGTGTCCATGCATATGCAACTAGGCTAGAGTAAGTTCGGATTTTTAAATACAATAAGGCTTGCATAATGTTAATATGTATATAATTTGTGATATATATTGTAAGACAGAAGTGTACTGGTTTTTGACAGATACATCAGGGATATAAGAATCTTTTCCTTGCCAGAACACACAGCCTTCAGGGTGACTGATTTGTTTATCAAAGGAAAACAAAACAGAATAATAACTGAATTATTATCAGACTATGTAGGAGGCAAAGGAGGAAGAGCGAACAGCATTTTATAGATGATATAAAGCAAAGTAATAACTATATAAAGAATGAGTGAATAGGCTGAGAGGAAGAGGAAGATAAAAGCTTTGGTTGATGAAGTCAATATTCTCAAAAAGAGAATTCAGAAGTGATGCTTAAACTAGATCAACTTAAGATTCATTTCCTTTTTCCCCCCTTACCACATATTTTAATTTATTTCATTTATACTACACTTTTTTCTGTACTTTTCATAATATAATCTACTTTGAAAGGTAACAGCATGATGTGTATGCATGAATGGATATATTGATAGAAAACCTCATTTAGATAAACTGGACAGCAAGCTCCTACAGATGGACCACAATACACAAGTTCTTCTAACTCAAAGATTGTCTGTTGTGGGCGCAAATGACAAATGGTATCTGTTAAAATAACTTTGATAATTTCTTTAAAATATATTCACTGGTATTTTCTTACCTGTTTTGAAATTCCGGAGTTTCCCCATTTGTCAAAGATAGTTTATTTGAGGGAACTGGAGAGCTTCCCCTGTTGATTATAACAATATGGTGTTATTTGAATTTGACTTTAATTTAAATAGAATATAAAGAGCTATCTTTTACTTAGTTTAACTCTTTCTCAGGCTATTTACCCATCCAAACATATATAAGTAGCCCAATATATGGGGGCTTAACTGTGAAAAATAAATTGTGTAGTAGAAATAGGATACTTTCAGCTACATCAATGAACTAAGGAAAAAGTTAATTCTTACCTGATTTCCAGTATTTTTTGTGATGCAGGAAGCAATATAGGTGGAGCCAAGTCCCCTTGAGGTATCTATTTAAAAAGCATTTGAGCGTAGATTAACTTTCACAGAAAAAAGCAACAAATGAAGTGCATAATTAGAAGAAAGAATAAGCAAACCAACCTCTGTTTTATATTCTATTTGAGGCGCGTGCATGTGGTTCCATTTTCTTAAGGTTGCTTCAAAATCAACTTCACCACTGGCAGACAAAACTCTTTCTGAGGTTCCTTGAAGGTACAAAATTTTTAAAAAGTCAGTTAAAAGGACAAAACCCCATAATAATACTAAAGTCTAAATATCAATTGGCTGAATCAGCAAGAAAAGTTAATTTCATTTTGTTAGATCAGGTAAAGGAAAGGCACACTCAGGCTTAGGCAGCAACAGCTCTTTATTAACAGAAGTCAACTATGTACAAACCAGCGAAGGT